CAAAAGCGGAATTGCTTAGGGCGCCAGCACTGCGCTGGCGAACCCTAAACCCTAAACCCCTAAACCCTAAACCGTGCCTCCTACATATACTAAGGACCTCCAAAGGGGACCTATGAACTCCCAAGTCCGGGCCAGCATCTGCACAAGAAGGGCTGGTGTTACTCTTACTCTCACCATCAATCGACTATTTATCATGTTACTCTGATGTATGTCTCTGACTGTACTTACTATCTTGTTTGTCTGTTCTGCCACTTACCCACATCGCAAGTGCTTACCGGTGTATGTGAAGCCGTTTCTCGTCTCGTTAAGGCCGACATCGAGCCTCGAAAATGGGCCCTGGAAGCAGCAGCCTTAAGCTTCAAGGCTTCAACTACAACCGCGCTGGCAGCTTGGAGTTTCCAAGCGAAGCTTCAAGCTAAAACCACGGCGTTGGCTTTACCAAGTCCGTGGCTGCACACCGATGGTGATGTGCTCAACTGGCGTGTTGGATGTAAAGCTGAGGGTCGTTTGAGGCTCTGGCTTCTCCCACGGCATGAAGGAAAACCTCTGGACAACTCTGGCAATGGCAAGAAGGCCCTCGTACTCTGCCAAGCGCATCCCAAGGCAAATGCGAGGCCCGAACCCAAAAGAAAGCGTGTCGAATGGCGGATGTTTGATGATGCCCTCTGGTCCAAGCCATCGGGAAGGGCGGTAGCAGAGCAGGTCATTCCCAAGCTTCTTCTTGACCTCAGGATCATTCTCGAGGATGTACTGGAATGGAATAGCGAACTGCGTTCTGGGCGGCTGCCTCTTGCCCACCAATGTGAATTCTTCCAGGTTCTCGAAGGCAAGAAATGCGGCTGGTCCTGTGACCCGAAGCGTCTCCAACCACACTGCGCGAACCAAGGGTAGCGACTCTAGCTGCTCAGTGGAAAGCTCCCCTTCCGGCAGTGAGCGGACTTCTTGTGCCACCTGCTTCTGCAGCTCTTGATCCCTGGACAGGTGGTAAAAAACCCACCCCAAAACCTGGCTTGTTGTGTCCGTCCCGGCAATGAACAAGATGAGGATGTTGTCCAACAGCTCCTGGTTTGTGAACTTGTCGCCTTCCATTGCCCTCAGCTTCTCCGTGATGCTCTTGCCGCCGCTGTCCGCTAGCTTCATAGTCTGCTGACAGCGCTTGTCGAATTTCTTCTTGATTTTGTCCCCGTCATCAATCCACGGAGCCAGACCCGGTACTTTCCAGTAGGGCAGGGGGGCAAACATGCGCGTCTGCACGGCATCTTCCAGGACCTTCATATCATCGATGAGGTCAGGGCACCTGGTCTGCAACAAATTCAGCTCCTGTCCAAGAGCAGTCTTGCATATCACATCTGCCGTGTACAACGGCAGGAGGGCTGAAAAGTCCACTTCCTTTCCGGCTGAAATCTCTTTGTCTATCTCCTGGAGGAGTTGCTCTGCCACGCACTGCACAGAAGGGATAAGGCTCTCTACGTTCTTTGCGTTGAAGGCAGGGGAAAGGATTCGCCGCTCCCGCTTCCAACGCTCTCCCTCGGAAAAGAAGCTGCCTGCGACGATCGAGGAGGCATTTGATAATGCACTGAATCTCTGCGCAGACCAAGAACTACCTTGGCGTGCTCCCAGCTGCAGCAGCAGACCGTCCGAGAGCCAGCGAGATTGTACTCAAAGACGCCTTCCTGCTCACTTTGTGTCTGGAGCAACGAAGATGGCACAAAATCAAACAATGCCTCGTGAGAGAGAGAGAGAGAGAGAGAGCGCGAGCGAGAGAAAGCACGTTCCACATGAGCGGTGTTCTCATTTGTGTGACCGGCAACAAGGAGATCGTTGCACAGGACATCACAGGACCTTCGTCGCTTGCAAAACGGCTTTTCGCTGGATATTAGAGACTTGCCTCCGAAAGAAGGGGACGCTCGAGAGATGTTGAAAGCCGGAGCCTAGGCACAAACGTCAAAGACAGCGTGGAGACGCATCTTTGTCACCAGTGCATGTAACCCCAAACGAATCATGACTCGTATGCACCGGAAATGCTGCTTTTAAGTATGCACCTGACTTTTGCTCACCACTTATATGCATCGCAAAGGGTGACCACGACTTGCAATTAGGCATCAACCCGAAAACAAAGCTTATTCTCCATTTCCCGATTCTCTCGCGATGCACAGATAAGCCCAAACACGTCAACGGGCACAACCAATTGATGACATCAACACATACATGCAATGACCATTGCAGCAGTATTGGGCATCAAATCCTCATGGATATCCAAGAACAGCCCGAGCTACAAACGAAAATCAAAACGAAACATGTCTTCCTTCACACAATCCTCGCGAAATCAGTTTCTTAGACGTGCGACCGTTTCCTGCTCGATTTGTACAGCTTCGGCTTTCGTGCAGCTTCCAATCCCACCCCTAACCTCCCCAATCGCAGTGAACCAAAGACAACGAATACATCTACTAGTAACTAGTAGCAATGCCCCACATCTGACTAGACCAACGGCAGCAAGACGTTTATCGCAATTGTCCCACATCCCAGCTCCCAACAAACCAAGGGCAACGAATTGAACAACTTGCTGTGCCCCACATCCAACAAACCCGGCAGCAGCAACAGGTCCATGGTACCATGCCCAAGACCGCCTGGAATTTCCCTGCCCCACATCTCAGCAAACAACCGCAACAAGTAGTAGTTAAATCTTACAATGCCCCACATCGCGGAATTAGCATGCCCTGCACCCCAGCAAACGAACGCAAACATGTCGTAAACTCCAGGCGCTCTTCATATAACGAAACTAGTATAGCTTCTGCAGACTTTTCGCGCCTGAAGCCCTGCTGTGGGACCGCCGCGTGTTCTGTTTGCAACTTCTGACATCAGACAGAGGTCTTCTGAAGTCTTCTTGTATCCACCAGTCATCTTGCATCTGAATAAAGAAATCCTAGTTAGAAGGCTGCCCCTTAGCCCTGACTTCACATTCATGTACAGGAAGGGACTAGAAGCGCGCTCGAGTCAACATGCTACACTTTAGGGGTGGAATCCGGCAGTTCGGCAAACCTAAGCTAGAGTATCAGAGGAGCGCAGCAGTCCTCGCCGTATTTGTCAGACCACTCCATGATTTTGTGAAAGAGTCGCCGGCCGTACTGCGTCTCTGGAAGGACACCGAGTAGCCACCCTCCGGGAACCTGTCGAAATCGCTCCGGCCTCGACTGGAGAAGGAGCCTCAGGTTCGCAGACAACCACAGCGCGAAGAGCCAGTGCGAGGTTCTGCCAATTATGAACCCATAAGCTCAGGAATTCGCCACTGTCTTCCTGCAAGCGGCGGCTGTGGCCCTGCGCCTCACTGAGAGGCGCCGCGGGCCTCGCGGACGCGGAGAGCCAGAGCAGCGTGGCCGTGGAGACGTCCCCGTGGAGACGAGGCTGTCCCGGCGAGGCACCGCCGGAGGCTATGCGCGGCGAGGCGGTGCTTCTCTTCCCGTCCCGCCCGGCCCGAAAGGCATCTCGAAGTCCTCCAACAAAATCTCCTTGTGCCAGCGGGCAACATCTCCCTCGACGTGGATGTAAAGGAGCTCGGGCACTTGGGAGGGGTCTGGTGTTTCGGGCTCAACTTCTCCAAGAGTGGACTCAAGGTCACCGGAGACGGCCCAGCAAGCGGCGGGGTGTTCACTTTGAAGGCTCTAAAGATCTCTTCTCCGCTGCCATTTGACCATCGCAGGGCCGGTGGCCTGAGAACACGCATCAGCTGCGCGCTGAAGCTCTTCGCATCGCCTTGAAGATCTTGAAGCCTCAGTTTTTTCGTTTCTTGTAGCTGCTCTGGCACCCAAACAAGGACGTCCGGGTTGAAAAGGATGCCAACCAGGAGTATCAGGAGATCACTGCATGAACCAAAGAGTTTCAATGCTGAATCCCACGCATCGTCTCGCCTTTCCTCTGCAAGTCGTTGCACGGCAGCAAAGCCAAAACTCATCATCAGAGCACCCTTGATGTCGTGAGTGAATACCGGCGGCAAGCGATTGGAATCCAAGTACATTGAAACATCCGGATACACGCGCTGCTCCTGTTCCCTCAGTCTCTTCAGTCCCAGGAAAATCTCAGGACAGAAGGGTCTTTGAAGGTGAAGCAGCCGGAAGACTTGCCGGTAGAGCCACTGCCGGAACTCCTCCACAGGTTGCTCTCTGAACGGCTCGGCCCCGATCTCGAGTACTCCCAGCACCTCAGAGAAATGAGTGCCCTAAGCCTTAGTTCCTGGATTTTCTGAAGCACGACTCCCTCCATTGCCACAGCCACACACACGAAGTCATGTAATTTACAGAACTTGCCGTGTATGCCCTAAAACATACAGGCCCACCGCCATGCCGCTAGATATCAACGTGTGACCCCCTTAGCGCACCCTAAACCACTGAGACGGCTGCAGGCTCGTTGAATGCGAAGAGGACGCTCCCCTCCGCTGGAAACTCGTGCAGCGGCGCGTCCAGGTCCTGCCGGCTGCAGAAACTTTGCGGTAATTGATGGCTGCAAGATATCACAGTTCTTTGTTTGGGCATGCGAAGTCAGTTTCAGTTAAACGAACTTTCTGCGACCTCTTTTGCGCGACAAACTTACACGGCAAGCAGTGTCATGGCAGTCCTCTTCGTTTGCGGGCCGGCAATAAGTCAAGTTTAGGCATGGCCTTGGCACAGCAAACATAGGTGCTCGGACTTTCAAAATTGATTCTGGGTCTGTACACTGTACGCTCATGTTATTCTCACTACTCGTTTCTCGTGTTTCTCATACGAGTGGGTGCGGTGCTGCTACCACTACTCTTATGGATGGAACTTCTCATTGTTTGTGCCAGACACGTCCGGAAAGCTTCGCTGACTAGTCTGGGGGTCTTCAAACAGGATCCTTACCGATCCGATGCCTCTGGCTCGACGAAGAAGGTAATCGCCAACTCCGCCTGAGATTCCACTTCGCGCGCTCGTAAGCTTGAGATCTCTGCGCCAGTATGGGGTGTGAATTGTAGCCGGTGTAGGAAACAATGGCAATTGTAGCCGGCAAGCCTCGAAAACACTCGGAATCAAGTAAGCGGCTACACGCCTACATCTCATTAGTGCAAAGCGAGCTGCTGGCGACAGCTCTGGAACAAAGCGCGAACAGGCTGCCGCAACGTGCGCTTGGCGTGAGACCGTGAATATAGAATGTTGTTTTGCCCAACCCCGTGGCCGTCATTCTTCTGTTTGACAGCAAGTTACTCCTGATGCGGCTGAAACAGCTTCTCAACCGAAGCAATTGTGGAGGTGGGGGCGGTGCCGTCGGATGCGGAAAAAATCAAAGCACCTTTATGCCAGGAGGGTCGCGGAGTCGCCGCCTGCTTCAAACCCGTTCGAGGTTTTCACAGCAGTTTGAACAGTTTCGTGTCCTTGGCTGTGAACAACCGCAACGATGCCTATTCGCGATGACGGCAACCGCCCAGGCTGCTGCTCTTGAAACTCCGAGACCCCTCCTGAAGCGCTAAATCTTTGCGAACCACGAGTTTACTAGTTGCCCACTGTGCCCGTGGGTTCTCTAGCGGCTCACGACCAAAGCTTGCCGAGTGCCAAGCCCAGGCGTCGGCAGTCTCACCTGATGAACCGTAATTAGCACGGTCAGGGGACACAGAAAGAAGCAGAAGCAAGTAAAGAGCTTCAAGTTAGGGTCAGTGTGTTAAGCCATAGATGCAGCTTGACCCCGGAACGATGGGAAGTCTTGGGCCCCGGACCTTCACAGCGCGGTGCTGTGGAAGCACAACGAGGGGTCCGGGCCTGGCTCTAAGAATTGCAAGGGATTGAAGATCACTGAGGATCACATGCCTCTCACATTTGTTGGGAAATTCTGGACCAGCTGCAAATACGTGGGCCTGTCCTTTTTCAGTTGCTAGGCTACAGTGATCTGAAACAGGGGACATGGGAGAGCTGCAATCCGCTTTTGCGGCACAAGCAAGTCATGACGGATTCGGGCCTCTCTGGCACATACTCGCTGGTAGGAATCGTCGTCCTCAGAGCATTATGGACTCCCCGGCTAATGTGGCACTGTCTTTAGTGTCATGTCATCAGCCTCTATAACGCGTTGTTTTGCTTATTCATTTTGTTTATAAAATTCTGCCGATATCTATAATGCGCTTTGCTCTTGCCAGGCGGAGTTTTTAATGCCCCTTCTACAATGGTCTATCTAAAGGCACCTTGAAGCTCCATAACCCGATAATTACATGCCCTGAACCCTGACTCCCCGACCCTCATCTAAGCCTAAAGCCCTAACCTTGACCTGTCCAAGGAACCTTTGAACCCCGAACCCTGAAACCCTGGCCCCTAAGCCGAGAACCTGAAAGGAACCGCCTTAAACCCCCAGCCACCCCCCCACCCTGACCTAGACCCAAAACCCTGACTTGTCCAAAGAAGCCTAAGCCCCGAACTCTGAAACCCTAGCCGAAAACCAGAAAATTATTTACCATACCCATGCAAAGGAACCCCTAATTCACCCTAGACTAGCGGCCCTAAAACTCTACACATGGCACCCTTTCGAAGGAGATTAGGATGGCTCAGGCTCGGATTTATCTCAGGTTTCGGTTTTGGCACCGGGTCAAGGGGTCAGGAGGTCACCTTGCTGCGTGACCGTCCTACATTGTTGCACGGCCCGTCCTAATGCACGTATAGGTAGTCTCTAGCAGAACTACTGCGGCGAAGTCAACTCCGCGAAGGTAGTATTTCCAGCCATGGCTCATCACATCAGTCTCGTTGCGCAGGCGCACTTGGCCCATCGAAGTCCACCTCAGAACACGACATGTGTACGTCAGGTTTCTTTCATCGGGTACTGGCTGCAAACCCATGGACCACATCCATTGTATGCAGCGTTTACGAGGTTGCAGCTCCACAGGGGCCGTGAAGCAAAGGAAAACTTCGATGTTCACTCGAGGAGGTACCTGAGCGGCAGACTTCACCAGCAAGACATATAACCACACAGCAGATCTATCCGTAGACCATATTGTGCACGGAGCTACCTGATCCTCACACAGTTTGGGATCTCTCTGCGGCGCACGTCCGTTGCACCTTGGAAGGGCCACGTTGCCAGAAGGTCCGGAAAGCCCTGCCGAATGCTAGCAGAAGTCGCAGAGTTACTTTGCAATCCAGCTTTCAGGATCTGCCCGTCCTCCACAGCTTCGTCGGCAGGCGGAATTCGAGGCCTCATACATAGCATGTCTACATCACTCACCTGTCTAAGGAACTCGGCTAGAACAGCTCCTCAGGTTACAGGGTCCGCACATGCCGGCACCGGTGTAATCGCTCGTGGTGACCACCCTGAGGTGCAAAATTCGCAACACGACGGCACTTCAACTTCCTTCATCCCGTTTCTGCTACACAGCTCAGGCGTTCGCCCGCTCAGCGTGGTAAAGGATCCGGCACTGGTAGCTGCAACCTGTCTGAATTGCGTACGACATTCGCCGTGTCCATGTCAAAGCCCAGAACGTGCCAGATCACAAGAACGGTGCCTCGTTTCCCAATCGATCACGGAGAAGCCCAGCAGGCAAGGAGACCATATATTCCTCGATAGCAAGCGTGTGAGAGGCTGCGAACCTCAACCACGATTTATCGTAAACACATGAGCTCGGCTTCCATGTTGTGGAGCTCTGCATCACGTCGCCCTTTACTCTTACCAAAGAGACAGCGAGACAGCAAGCAGTTGGCTTCAGACCATATCAGGTGTGTAGCGCTGTCCCGGCGGAAGCTTGAAGATTGCCTGGCCGCATCTTTCTGCCGGCAGTAAGCTGGGAACCGACGTGCGACGATGCTGCAGCGGCGCCTTCTCGCGCACTAGGACTGCCTCAGACACCGGAAGCTCCAACATGGCCCCGTAAGCGATCCTGGGCATCACCTGACATCGAAAGAGGGTGGAAAGCCACCAAAGTGTTTCAGCTAAAGCGTGCACGCCACCTGGAGGCTGCCGTGTCCAATCTCCACAGCCTGCAATGCGTTGGAGTCCAGACAGCCCGACTCGCAATATGTGTCCTTGCTTCCTATTCTGGGCTACATCCAGCGGCCTCGCTGAAGGTCAAGGTAAGCACAGCCCAGGGTTCGACTCCTCTTGAAACACATCCGGCAATGCGATGTCATGGAAAGGTTTGCCGCGTCAGACTTCAGGTCTTGTTCAAGGTGCCGCATCACGAGCTTTCAGTCTCTTGTCGAGCCACTGCCGGGCATCATCGACGTGAGGCGCGGCACCTGGTCAACCCTGTCAGTCCTACACGACGAAGACACTCGCATAGATGGCATAGATTGATCGATGCAGATGAAGATGATATTTCGAGTCTGTCCATGACATATTCACTTGCAGCCTCTCGATCTTCGAGGATGTGGACCTGTGGCGAGGCGTAGACAATGACAACGGAAAAGGACCGCACTGCGCTTGTTGGTGAAACACATTGTCCAAGCTTTATTTCAGAGCACTGTCTAATTCTGGCCTGAAGCCCCGGACCGGCCAGATGACGGAAATGGTTTCCAGCCCGGTCCTGGCAAGTTCTGAATTCTAGGTGCTTCGGACCTTTTGAGATCGGTTTGAGATTCTTCACGTGCATGCATACCTGCATGCACCGTAGCGACTGCGCGAACAAGTGGATGTGCATTCCTGTGGATTGCCTTCATTTCATGCAACTTAGCATGTTGCCACACATGGATGGCAGTGTCGCGACAGATGCTTCGCCAACCTGCCTCGACTACGTGGGCATCGATCTCAACTTGGTAGCGCCGTCCTGCTGACTTCTGAGGAGATTTTCAGAGTTCTCCGAATCACGCAGACTGGACGAAGCCCGCATCAAAGTCAACAGCACAAGTCCCTGAAGAAGTGGCATGAGCGGCCGAAGGACGAGCTCCTGCACAGCACAAGAAAAGTCTGCATTCGGCAGAGCGCCCAGCGGTTGCCAGACAGATGACACAGGCAACCAGGCGAGTTGACCTGGAGCCTCCATTACGCCTAGTTCGAGCAGCAGCACCTTCCCCTTCGGCGAGATCGTCGCTTCTCTGACATCCGAGTCATCCATTCCTGCAGACGGCTTGTGCAAGCTAAACTCCTGCCTAAAAGCGGCTGCCTCTGCACCCGAGCCTTCTCCCAGTTCCGTGTCATTCTCGTATGTGTAGTCGCCAGCTGGAGGCAAGGCAACTTCAAACACAAGCTTTCGGATCCGTCGTGTGTATGCGGAACAACTGCGACGAAAGCTGTGGGGCCCTGGGGACAAGGAGTAACATGCTGGCCGCACGCAGCTCGACGAAGCGCGCATGACGCCCAGGCTGCGGCCTCAGCTCTCCTCCTGGCAATTTGGATCGGAATTCTGTTTCTCGTGGGTTGAGGTCGGAGCCCTGCTTCCACCAAGGGCCATCGTCTTGCAAGGTGTGGGTTGCACAGAGCTGTGGCTTTCACGATGGAAGGCTGACTAGGGCCTAGCGATGAACATTGACATGCAGCTGCGAAGAAAGGAAGCGCTGGAAAACAGCGAAGACAACAGGTCCAGGACTACGAGTGCGAGCAATGTCTGCGAGCTGGTGCGGTGGTAACGGATTTCACACGGACAAACTGCAGAACGCGTGGCCGCTGTAATTTACATGACGACAGGAAGGCACAAATGCAAACATATCGTCCGAGAAAAACAAAATGCAAGCTGCATGATTTCAGCCAGGGTCGCATGGATTCGTTCCGGACGGGCAGACAGAGCGAGTCTTTCCGACTTGTCTTACACAACCCGTACCGAGCTGAAATATCTGGCACGACATGCCTGTCACCGTCTGTCAGGTCTTCGCCAAAGACGTCTGAAATGTTGCACTCGGAGGTGAAGTTTGGCCTTTGACAGAAGTTTCAGCGCCCTCTTACTATTGCAGATGTGGAGCAGCAAACACCGGAAATCTTCCTAAGCGCACTGCGTTGGGGGTGGACGGCCATAGCCGAAGCCCAGCCAACCTGCCCACTCAGCACAACATGTGGGGGGTTCGATTCAATCGCATTGTTCGTTAAGTCGTGGTGGCTTCGGCTTTCGGGCAAATTTAATTGAGAAGTCCTGCGATGGGCCTTGCTGGCTATGGAAATCAGGCTCGAAGCTTGCGATTGACCCTGGAGGGTTTATCTTCGGCTGTGCCGCCCACCGGCCTGCTTCACTGTACTTGCCGAAGTCAGTACCGCCGCTCGGTAGAATGTCCACACTGCTGCCGAAGCCAGGATGGAAAGCACTGATGGCAGCTTCCACAACACAGACCCAAGAGTAAGTCTCATGAGGCACAAGGCCGGGGCCACGGATTCTCAGGTGCCCTGCTTCCAGGCCGAAATGCTCCGATGCTTGGCATCCTAGTCCAGCAGCATCCGCTCCGCACCAGCACAGTCGGAAGACCCCCGGAGGCTGTGATGTACTGGCCTGCGCCGTCGCCCCACGTAAAGTTGGCGATGCGGTCCGCTGGAACCGTCAAGGTGACCGCTGCGGTTTCGGAGGTAGGCAAGGTGGCACCAGACCCCAAGCCAGCCGGTGGCGTGCCAGACCCACAGCTTGAAGCTGTCAGATTCCAGATCGACGAAGCCCGCTCGTACAAGGAAAGCCCGGAGCCGCGAAGTTCAGACAAAGCCATCAGCCGGTCACCCGCCGCCAGACCGACACCAAGGATGCCGGGCACATCGCATGCCAAGCTTGCTCTGCACTCCGCATAATGGCCTCGAAGGGGACCCACATACTTGCTGACCCTTACGACCGCACCTGCAAGTCCTCCCAGCCCAAGGTGTGGCCGGTTTGGCTGTCGACTATCTCCCACGGAATCGGTCCCCGATTTCATTCTCCCACGAAGCTTCGGCCTCCCGCACTCTCAATGTCCATCCTCCCAGACGCCCCCTGGAAGAGCTGCCCACTGCGAGGGCATTTGACGAGGAGAGAGTGTACCAGGTGGCAATGCTGTAGCGGCAAAGCTCGTATTGGTCACTTCGTAAATACTTCACACCGTTCACCTCCGTCCACCTGCCACCAGTCGCAAAAGCAAATGGACATCTGCAGGCCTGCCCGCGGCCTACACCCGAAGCGGTCTTCTGCTGCACTGCTCAGCAGCATGCCTTCACCAGCCTTTCAGGAAACTACCCCGCCTGTACAAGTAGAATACCCTCTTGAACTCTGAAGTTGCGCCATCTAGCTTGCTGATAAGCCACTGATCTGGCACAGAATACGCAAGCACTTGCGTTCCCGTGGCACCTGGGTCACGAGATTCCGCAGATATTCTATGGTTTTGGTGCATTTCTGCGACGGTACAGTTTTGGCATGCTTTTTCGCACAAACTGAAGCTTCGTTAGCCAACTTCGCCAGGCGTTGTTCAAGAAAAACGAACTGCAGCCATCAGCGCTGACCACCCAGGCCGTGTTGAGCGAGCCGTCCACGGCTGCCTCGAGAGTGCAGAAAATCAGCAGCCATTTCGGATGTCCCTGTTTCGTGCCCGACCTCGAAGCTCGCAGTGGAGCCGTTCCAGCGACCGGGAACCGACACATTCAAAGGATCTCCAGCACGGTCCTGCACAGACAGATGGGCAAACACAACAAACACTACTTCTCTGCCCATCCTGGAAGCTGACCTCCGCGATGACTGCCTCGCAGAGTCTGGGGCATTGGAAAAAGTCAGGAAAACTTCCCTCTCCACTTGGCAAGGCAGCCTCTGGGTCTGGAAACTCCGTCAGCTCCAGCTGCAGGTGCCCGATAGTCTGCACAAGGACCTCCAAGGAACCTCAGGCCGCCGGCAAGTGCGAAATCTCGGCCTTCAGACTCTGGCTATTTCCCCCGCCTGCCCGCTCTTGAAAGTCCAAGCTGGTTGCGCAGCTTGCCAAGGCTGAGCACCAACAAAGCTGATAGCCTCGATCAGGGATCAGAAGATTCATGGATGACAAATGGTTGCCCCTGACCATCCGGCCACGTGGCTCCCAGGCAGGAGCTGCAAGGGCGACCACGACAGATCCTGGACGATCCCACCACCGCCTTCAGAACCGCCATCGCACTCCGGGGGTGCTTGATTTGCAACATGCATCCCGCCTTCGTCATGAACGTGCTCCTTGGTGTTGAATGCAAAACCAGACAAAGAAGCACCTGAGAAGGCCGTGTTGTTTTGCTGCTCCTGCGTAACATCTCTGCGAAACTGCTTCGCTCACTTCTTTGCGCCTGCAAACTCACCGCTCTCCACAAGTGCCTGTTGCTGGCTGCAGCAACACCTGATCACCATCATGCAATGGGAACCCGACCTTGGTAGTTGCGAGTCCACCATCACCTGTGTCACCGGACAGCCCCAAACCAGCAAAGGTGTCGATGATTCCTGTCGCGAATCCTTGAGTTTCCCTGATCGACAATGTACAAGTCATCTGTGCGAGGATCAAACGCAATCCCAACCTTCGAAACTGTGCATTCGCTGCTGGACCACCCTCGCCGCCAAAACCGTAAACACCATGTCCCGCATAAGTGCTTATCTGCGGTGTGGTGGTGTATACGATTGGGGTAGTGTTGCTGAGCACGACCACTCTGGAGTTCATGGCTACTTTGCGTACTCGGCTGTTCAACGTGTCGGCAACGAAGAGGTCATGCTACCGGCCCATTGAGCAAGGCGCTGCTCGCAGCACCACCATCCCCGGCGTATCCAGGGACCGAGTCCTGCCCTGCGACGAGGGACAGCATGCCGGCTGCAGAGTAGGGGTACACGTCTGTGGAATTTTGCGTGGGCACAACCCAGACCACGGATGGGATGGCAACGCCAGCACCTGTAAACCGTGCTTCTGCGATGAAGACCCGACCGCTTTGATCAACGGCCAGAGCCACCGGCTCCAACGGTACTGTTTCAGCTGGGAGCGGCAGGCTGGACCATGCCCTCGATGTCGTGGGCACGGCACCTGTGCCAGCGAAGGCACTGATCGTGCGCGGCGGCGTAAGCATCCGCACTCTGCGCTCCCCGGTGTCAGCAATGAAAGCGTTGCCCTCCATGTCCACGGCCACACCTGGCCGAGGCTCACACCTTTGGACCCCCTAAGGCCTACCTCTTCCCTGGCCTTGTGGGCTGTCCAGCTGTGCGGCAGTTGCAGAGCCCCCGTCACCACACCCGGAACTTGTACAGGCAATGCCTGTGCCTGCCAGAGTCTGCACAGCTCTCGGAGCATTCCCAGGCCGTTGCTTCGGAGGTTTTGGGACCCGGGATCCACACCATCTGTTTCCTTATGGAACCTGGTAACCTGCACGTCCCTACGAGCCGGGAGTTTTGTGTGTCCGGACTTCTGTGCAGAAGCATGGCTTGCGAAGTCTGGAGGACTGCGGAAGAGCCGCGGCTCCCCGTCCGATCTCACACCCAAACCTGGCCACGAATTGGGAGTCGCGGTGCACCCCATCTAGCCAATAATCTAGTGAACTGCTGCAACTCGATGTGAACCTAGTCCTTTGACACTCCAGGAGTGCAGTTCTGAGGCTTTAACAAAAAGCCAGCTCAATGTTGAACCTGCCTTCGGTCACGGCCCAGGTCTGGGAAGCTTTGCTTGGATCGCAGTCTGCGAGCACCTCGCAGGGCAATGGCAAGGCTCCACAGCACAGTACCGAGCATCTTTTCACAACATGTCTCAGAGCCGTGCCAGAGTCACATCCCAGTCAGACGCATCCACACACGCACCCTGTAGCCGGAGCATCACGAACCTTTGTTAGTGCGATGTGTCCGCTTGAACACCCAGCCTCAAGATCCAGACAAACCGTACATGCGGGAATAGATGCTGACTGGAGGCAGGTCCTCTGGTGGCTGCTGGCCAGTGATCCTGAGAAGCTTGACGTGCTATGTCCGTGTTGGGCGCTGGCGCTCCAGTCTACCTTGCGGTCACGGCGGTGGTCCTGAACTGCTGGCGCTCGTCAAAACCGTCGCAAAGTGAAACCCTGACTCGGTCGCCGCTGCCAATCATGCCGTCACCTTCAGGCTCACGACCAAACTCAGCTGCCCCTCGCTACCGCATGCGGAAGGCAGTCCGGCCTGAGAAATCGTAGGCCTGTCAGCACAGCTCCGTGTCCAGGTTCCGGATCGTCTGGTCGCTGAGGACCCATCGCTGCCCTTGGCATTCGCCGGTCGTTATTAAACCGGCACCCGAATTCGCCACAGAAGCACCAACAAAGCCCACGAGCCCTGAGTTGTTTTCTTGCACTTGCCTCGCCTGCAACCCGAGAGCATTCAGGCTTCGGGCATCTAGTGCAGCTTGCTGCCCGGGGGCCGCTTCCGACGCAGCTGCCCAAGGTCACATCGTGGTGTATGCCATCCTCGGTGAGTGGTCACTCAGTTAGGGTTGCTAAGCATCGGCATGTCAGACCTTGACCGTTTCTGCCGCCGCTAGTGGGACATGAAAATTCCGCCAAGAAGCGGCCGGGATTGTTGCACAGATCCTGGGAAATCGCAGCATGCATCAAGTCAGCATACGCACTCGTGGCTGATGACTGGGAGGAGGCAACGGCTGCAACAGTCGCGGCTGTTAAAGCCAGGACGCGGCAGCACGTCACCCACCCCGGTGTTGAAGCCTCGGGCAGTGGAAGCACAGGCCTTGTCCTGGCAAGCGACCTGCAGAAGTCACTTCGGGGACACTGCATTCGGGGCACGGAACTTTCGCTTTGACTACGGAAGTGTCACAGGCACCTGGATGAAGTACACTCCGCTATCCCGGAAGAGAGGCGCCTGACGGTGGAAGCTACTGTAAGGTTTTGGCTTCGCCGCCACACGGCGTCAGCGTTGTTAGTTGATAGCGCCGCAGCCCCAAGGCCAAAACCAAGTCTGTAAGTCTGCATGTGGCTAGATCTACCTGACCTGATGCAGAGCCTTCCTGTCAACCATCTTGCAAGTGCCTACACTCCCCCTGCGATCCAGCTGTCCCAAATCGCCTCTATCTGAGAGATCTTTTCCATGGAATGGCCACCTGAACCCAAAGCGATCGATGTTACTTCCTCTCTGTTCCATCTGAGTTGCTTGCGGCAAGTGACTTTTCGGCCCAATTAGTGATGTCCGCGCTGATGAGAGAGTCTTTGGTATCTTTGTAGATACGTAGTTTTCGGACTGAGGACACGGAGACCAAACAAGCCGAGTTGCTGTAGACTTTGCCTCCTTGGAGAATCAAAGCATCGGCATGGCCGTCGTCGGTGGCACAGTTGATGCTTAAGCCGTCCTGACAAACCAAGTGAGGCAAAAGGGTTGAAGCAAACACCGAGCCAGCAACATGACCGAACTCGCTCGCCCTGTGGGACAATGCCCACTAGAACCCATGTACACCCGACATGTGGAGCCCAGCTGCAAAGAGCAGAGCTCCACGTCGCTGCCCATCTCGGAAGCGGAGCCGCACCACCCGCTGGAAGCCCGGAACGCTTGAGGAGACCTCGGCTCGAAGGTCTCAGAATCACTCGGAGCTTGAAGGGACAAGTGGGCAATAAGTGCTGCCAGGGCTCATAAACACTGGCCCCATCGGATAAGATAGCCTGGTGGCTGATAACTCCAGACGACAAGGGCACGGCGCTAGAATCCGTAGAAACTGGTTCGTTGTACTTTCGTTTCAACGTTGTCCGATAGTTGCGGTCCAAAACTACGGAGACTTGCAGGGGAGCTGGAATTGTCCTCAACTCAGCCGTGGTTGCTGAAACCATGAATCTTCGACTGAAAGTCCAAGGCAGGGTCCTTGACGTCGCCCTCCAAGCCCTCGAAAAGCAGCTCGGCACTGTCGAGGGCCATCTTCTCGGTGCTGACCTTCACCACATAGGCAGAAGATCCTGTCAGCCCACTCTTCATGGCTTTTTGCGGCTGTTGCTCTTGCACTGCGGATTGCTGCTGTTATTCGTTGTTGTTGACGTTCCCCTGCTACTGCTACTGCTGCTCCTCCCTCCTACCACGACGACGACAAAACCCAATGGCGATTGCTCATGCGATCAAGCTTGATAGCCGGCCATCCTGCCAGAAACAGGTAGCCGCTAGCGACCGTCACTGCCGCAATGGTTGGTATCCTCAGCCGGCAAATCGTGAATCTCAACCTGTCCGCAAGGTAGCATGGGCACACAGAACGTTTTCCCATGTTCCTTGACTCACGCCCTGCATTACTGCATTCCCGTGCAACGAAAGCGTCGTGGAGTACGGCAGGACGGCGGCAAAGGAGGCGACGAGGCCGAGAGCCTCGGATGCAAAGGCCGAAGAAGGAAAAGTCCGCCGCTCCAGAAGTCTGCCGCCCTTTTTCTGCAACCGCGATGCTTTAAGACCAGGCCAACCGAGGCATTTCCTCCAGCCCAGGGCAGGAGATGCAAGAGATGGCTTGGTGGAGGGCGACGAAGTCAGCTCTTACCCGAAGGTTGTTCATGCAAGTCCAAGGCGTGCCAAAGCACCGAAAGCACAAATGCAGCCAAGTTAAAGACCCGATGAGAAGGAGAGGAGAGCAAAGACGCCGAACTCACTTTCTAGAAATGACCAGTGCCAGGGTCCACGACTAGCCCGAACAATCCCAAATATACTTCGAGACTATTATAGCTCCACAAGGCTCGAGTCGCCAGAGTTCAACGAAAGAGCTGGATAGGGAGGCTCAAAGCAATCACTCCAGCTCTGCCCGCCTGTTCGAAGAGCGGAATCTGGAACCGCAGAATTTGGCCTGCCACGCATGAAGCCGCTGGTTGAGACAGGTCTACATTGACTAGTACACAAATACGACAATACGATGTGTACCCGACGGGCCTGGGGATGTGCGGAGGCCGAAGAGCACAAACTCGCCGTTTGTCACTGCCACTCGCGGTGTCAGCTCGCCAGCAGCAAGGGTCACTACGCTGTGGACGCTGTCGCTGAGCCTTGGAAATTGAGGCTGGGAGTTGGTAGTGCTTCGACTTGGTGGATACCAAGATCGACTGACTGAAGATGCAACTGGGCTGCAGGAACTTGACCAGCTTCCCGGCAGAGATCGCTGGAGAGGTGGCAGAGCCTGTCTTCCGCTACTCCCTCTTGTATTCGTGGACGACGTCGTGGATACAGGGCTTTTGTGTTGATGGTGGTTGCTTATTGTCTCAATCATGGGGATCCTCCTGAAATCACGGCACAGAAGCCAATTTCGCGGCAATCCAACCTTGAGAGAAAGAGAGAGAGAGAGAGAGAGAGAGAGAGAGAGAGACACAGGGACAGAGACAACGACAGACAGAGTTGGGGACGCATGAGGTGCAGGATGAATGATGACCGCGGAATCGATCGCAGGCTTGTGTGCACGCACTCTCTCTCCTGCAGAACTAACGCGGCTCTCGAAAACATCTCGCATGGAATCGAAGCACCTGCGTATCCAAAGAGGCCATCCGTGGTAAGAGCACGAAACCCGAATGTGGAGCCGACGCCGATGGAGGTTCCGCTGCGGGCAATGGTCCTGGCAACAACCAGGAATCCAATTTTTCCGAAGTGAAGTGAGACCACAGACCATGGGCCACAGTTCAGACGAGAGGCCGGCGCAGCAAACCGCTGGGTTCGTCTTCCAGAAGTACCTGGAAACACAGGTCACGGGACCTGAAAGAATTCACTAAACCTGAAAGTTACTCACCCATCAAGGCATGTTAGATACGGGGTGGGGAGGGGAAGGAAATATCCGCCGAGGCCAGAGGCCCAGGCGTCTTGATGGTTACCTCAGGTACCCTCCACCTAATCCTCCTCCATATGTTTGGAGACACCCGTTTTTTGCGTTCGTTTGCCACCCCCTTGTCCGGCTTCCCTTCATTTTACCTGATTTGTCGGCCTCCCCCCCCCCCTCCCAGGCCTCCCCCCCCCCCTTGAGATGTAACCTGGACGTGGATCCCCTCGCTAGGCGTACAGGAACACAGGCACTCAGGTGTCGCTTTTTACTACAGGCGCACAGCTGTAGTCCACTGCACTAGAACCTTGAGCAACAGGCATGGATACATGCAAGTGATACGTGAAACAGACAGGCACCTGGATGTGTAACATTCCGTGTTTCAACCAGGCACAAATTTAAAACACGTAGAGCTGCATGGCCGTGGAGTCGGCAGTCTACAAGCCTGTTATTGCTCTTGGTCGAATTAGTGGAGTATTGAGCTACATCTGCGACTTGAAGAGAATCTATACATCTCTAGCCTGAAGACAGCTTCAATGAAAAGAGCAGAACACGCACGAAACGCAAACGGATCTTCAACTGAAAACTGTTGCTTGAAAGTTGCCCACTTGTGTGTCAGTTCCCTCTCCAGGCGGAAAGCATACTGTAACATAAAGGTGTAGAGCTTGGCTCTACTTGATGCCAGCATGACATGTTGCGGCAAGGCAAATGGTATAAGGGCATTGGAAGTATCTTATCCTGAGATACGTATCTTATTTTGAAGAAGAGTTCTTTAGGAAGTCCCTTTTCCTGAGAAAAGCATCTCCCTATGAAATGACGAATGCTCAAGCTCAAAGTGGATACCTTCTTCTGAAAGAAGCATTCCGTGAAACACTCTGCCAGTTCAGTCGACGAACTCTATGTCGCGATCCCAGGTTCGATCACGCCAATGTTCTGCATTATGCCAGCGGTAGATATCCTCAGTGTGGATAGGCACCACCGGCGCATGGCGATCTGGAGCAACGTCTTCATTCTGTTCCAAAGGAACTTCGTCGAAACCATTGTCCACTTCCACATCCGAAGAATCGGAACCTAGTCAGTTTTTCCCCTTGTTCTTGCCCTTGGACTTGTCCTTGGATTTGCCCTTGGACTTGCCTTTTCCTTTGGAGGACTTGCCTCCTTTGCCGCCTTCTTTGCCACCAGGAGGTTGAGCGGGTTCTGGAGGACGTTGAGAGCCAGAAGTTGGAGCACCAGAAGCTGCCTCTTCCTGAGAAGAGCTTGCTCCCTGAGGTGCGGCTGCTGTAGGACCAGTAGAACCAGAACCACGCGCCTTGTTCAACTTCTGTCTCTCCTTTCTCCTGTCCGCGGCTTCCTTCACAGTGTCGGGATTGCGGTTGAGCGCCCTCATCCTGCCTCCAAAGTACTGGTTCGCGTGAACCTCGACGAGGAGCGGCGTGTGAGCGCCATAGTCCCGATCGTTGAGAAGGTACGCGGCGCTGGTGGAATTCAACAGCCACTCGGAGACATGGATGTCGAACTCGGTCTTTGAAGCTGGAAATTCAGCCCATTGATCGTCGACATGCTGTGTCCCCACTCCATGACTGTCGCCAGAACAGGATCCAAACCAGGAAAAGTATTCCAGTCTGGATGCTTGATGTCCTTGTAAGGCATTCCCAGCGTGTCCTCATACTGCTTCAGAAGCCACATGGCGTTTGCTGACACATGCCTCGCTCGAGGTGTGCAGAGGTGTGGGCACTTCGGGCTTTCTGACCAGGCCTCCAAGAAGTAATCGAGAAGGCTTTGGTACATCCCGCCACGAATGTCAATTGACTCTTGCCTTCTGCCAGTGGCCCTGTACAAGGCCATGTTGGCGGTTGGCGTCGCCACCAATGAGGTCGACCTGGTAATGCAAGCAGTCAATGAACATGTTGCCCAACACTTCATGAGCTAACGCCACTTTGTCAGCTGCCGCGTCGTTACGGAGGTGGAAGCAACAGACCCTTATGCGGTCGGAACCAGCACGTTCCAAGACCTTGGTCAATGCCTCTTCTGGGAAGTCACCTCGATTGCCCTGAATGCCGGTGGGTAACGTCATTCCATACACGATCTCGACGACCATATAGGTCAAAGGAAGAGATTCGTGGGCGAATCCACTGAGAGTGGAGCCAGCCAAACGGGTGATCGAAGATCCAACACCATTGGTACGACTCCCCACCATCAGATCCTTGGACTCGTTGCGGATGAATTGCCACCCACGCGACTTGAGGAAAGCTTCCTCGGAGTCATCGATCTTAGCCGCTTCGCAGAGCATAAACAAATGCGTCTTCGACTGTGCAATCGATTTTATCAGGGCTCCACGAGATGGTGTAGCATCGTCCCAGTCAATGTGGTCAGCAACGGAGGAAGGTGCAGAACGCTTTCTTCCTCTGCTCATGTTGCCGAAACTGACGATGAGAGCGGCGTACTTGGTCTTGCTTGTGAAGATGGGGACCTGAGCGTCCTCCGCCAGACCAAAGCGATGAATGTAAGGATTCGGCATCTTCTCAAGAGAGAGGTCCCGGATTTCCTCTTCATCGACTCCGGTGCTCAAGAAGTAATGAAGCATAGCGTTCAAGAGTTCTTCTCGAGTTGCCGGATTGCCGCTTGCATCTAGGGACTTCACCTTATCCAGAAGTGCTTCCATAACCTCCAGAGCTGATTCCCGGATGTCAGAGGCTTTACCCATGAGCTTGTCATCCAAGGTGCTGCGGACGTCCCCTGAACGAAAAACAACGTCTTTCTTGTCAGGACGCCGCTCATAGATGGGAGACATCTTGTTGAGCTGTTCGAGAAGGTCTCCCGCAGAGAGAGAGTATTTCTGTCCCTTGTGAGGCGGAACATTAACCCTCCAACTCATATGCTGCACCTTGAAAGCGAGAACGGGCTCGTAGTCAGGATCACGTAGTCCTGTATGATACAAGCCGGAATAGCCATATCCACGCAACTGCTTGGAGAGCAGCCGCATAGGGCTTTGGCGTTCGATCTCAGTGAGCTCCGAGAGGAAACGCTTGAACTCTTCGGTGTCCTTGAGCTCATTCTTTTCCTTGGCCTTGCCCATCTTCTCGAACGCGTTCTCGTTTTGCTCCTCTGCATCCTTCGCGGCCTTGTAGTACTCAGGGTCCGGAACAGT